TAGTACGCGGGAGAAACGGGCAGCTCGCCTTTCTGTTGCAAGGGTGGCGTCCAAAACCAATGCGTAAGAGCCGGGAGACGGCATCACCTCTGGGTGATCGGCCCGGCTCCAGCTGATAGGCTTCTCCGACCAGTGCATAAACTCAGGGTTGTTGGAGGCGACCATGTTGACTTCTTGGTGCTGTCGGCGCCGGCTGCGTCGGTCTTCGGTCTGGCTTGTAAAAATGACGTAGGCAGCATGCTCGTTGGGGAACTCATCTTGAACAGCCCCACCCGCTGGTCAAGCGGCCGGCTGCTGAGGGGCTGGAGGCGGCTGGCCAGCAGGCGGGGGGGCACCAGCCCCTCGCCCTTGGAGATTCGCGTGAGCCAATGGCATTTCTGAGTCGTGTGGTTGGACGTCTTCGCGCTGCTGTGGAACTTGCAGCGGGCATCAAGGGCTTGCTCATAGGAGAAAGCCGGTTGCCAAGCCGGCCTGCCGCCCTTCTGCTTCTTGGGCGTGGGTCGCCCTTCGGGTTGTTCGTCCTCAACTGTGGCCACTTGCCGATTGGTGGGAGGCGGCATAGGGGCCTTGCGCTTGTTGTTGTTCTGGTACGGGCGTTGGCTGGAGTCTCCAGCCAGCGTCTTGGGAGCCGGAGCGAGCACCTTCCCGGAGGCGTCTGCTTGAAGCTCGGTCTTCATTGAAGAGTCGGCCGTGGCATACTTGTCTGCTATGATCAGCAACTCGTCGAGGGTAGTCGGCTCGTCGCACAGGAGTCGGTGCTTGAGGAGGGTGCCTTCTCGGCATCCGGCTGTGAAGTACTCTATGGCTTGAACCTCGTGCACCCCCTCGCATGAGTTGCGGAGCTCGGCCCAACGTGTGAGGTAGTCGTGAGTTGATTCATTAGGCCCTTGAACACATAAGGAGAGCCGTCGGGGCTTGGGAGCCCGTTTGTAAGTGCTGGTGAAGTTGCGGATGAAGGCTTCTGTGAAGTCTAGCCAGCTGTTGATGTTGTAAGGCTTGAGGCTGTTAAGCCAGGTGCGTGCCATGCCTTGGAGGATGAGGGGGGCGTATTTCACGGCAACACGCATGTTGCCGTTTGCTATGCGAACTGCGATCAAGTAACTAGTCAACCAATCTTCTGGCTTCACGGAGCCGTTGTACTTGGGCGTGTCTCTTGGGAGTGAGAACCCTTTGGGGAAGGGCTCGTTACGGATGCGGGGGCCAAAGCAGGGCGGGCCGACATCGTCTTGTTCTTCTAGCGCCAGGGATCGTGCTGGGCGGTCGATCCGATGGCGGGCGTCATTCTCGCTGACTCCTTTGCGGTGGCCTAGTGGGCCGCTGAGAGTCGGGTGCGTGACAGGCGGCGGGGTGGGATATCTCTCCCCACGAGGCGGAGGAGGAGGTGGATCGCCTCGTCGCTCCACAGCTCCAGGGCGGCCTTCTGCGTCGCGCTCGATGGTGATTCGAGTCTGACTGCGGCTAGCAGCCGGCTCCTTTTCTTGCCTTGTACGGGCGCCGCCCGCAGTCGGCGTCCGTGACGTCGCACCGTGCTCTCGGTGTGGGGGGGGACTTCCAGCGCGGGCGCCGGCTTCATGCCGCTCTGCGGCCACGTCGATCAACTATTGGATGCGTCTGGTCATGTAGGGGAGCTCGTCGGCCCCCAGTCCATTCAGCTCGTCCACGATCGACTGGGCGGCGCGTAGGTTCTCGAGGGGCGTGGCATAGACTAGGCGGTCTGCTCCCAGCATGTTGGCGATGGCCGCGCCGTGCTTCTTGACGACGCCGGCTCGGCTCGGCCCGTCAGGAGGCGGCGTACCAAAGGCGGCGCGGTCGACTTCGCGCTGGTGAGCTTTAGTGAGGCGTCTCATGGAGGCTATCTTTTGGCCCTCTGCAATGAGGGCGAGGCAGCGTGCCTCCAGCATCTCGGCGTCGGCGTCGGCCGGGATGGGAGCGGACAAGTCGTGCGGCGCCGCTTGCAGGGCGTCGTGGGCATTCTCGCCAGAGGCGACACCGTGGCTGATGACTACTACCTCGGTGACGGTGCTGCCGCCGTTGTCGGCTCGAGGAAGAGGGTCGTCGAAGATCACTACGTTGGTGGGAAAAGCGTCAAGCGATGCCGTGTCGGAGTCGACAAGCATCGGGTCGGTGGAGCCAACCGACTCCAAATCTGCAGCGGGCTCGCTAGAGACGTGCAGTTGGTCGAGGAGGCTAACGAGGCGGCTCTCGGGGCAGCCTGTGCCCGCGTCAGACGTGGGCTCGTCGGAGATGCGGGCCTCGCCAAGAAGATCGGCGAGGCAGCTCGCCGCGCAGGTGTCGTCGACGCCTTGCAGCGCGTCGGGGCAAGCGCCATCGGGCATGCCGGGCTGGCTATGCTCGCTGGGAAGGAAAAGGGTTCCCGTCCAGAGCAGGTCTCCGGACGACGGTGCACCTGGCCCCACGGTGGGCGCCAAATGTCGGGTGGTAGGTGCGACATATGCCAATGGGTGGCTTATCATTGTGGGAGCCAGTAAGACATCGTCGGTGCCTGAAAACGGGATGAGGCGAAGGCATGCACGCCGGCGGATCTTACCCAGGTTTGGGGCTCTCCGTGGAGATAACACCCCTAGTCCTGCTCTGCGGGGTCTCCGCATGATCACTAGATCAACAAGTGGCTACAAGAGGCTCCTTGAGCTGTTCTGCGAGAGGAAGAAGAAGGGCAAGGTTAGCTCTCTTCTCCCCTCAATGTAGTGTCTAAAACTCTAAGAGATCAACCCTTTGCATGGGTGTCCTGGGGGGTTTATATAGGCCTACCCCCCAGGGGTACAATTGTAATCCGGCTGGGAGTGGGCCCTAGCCGTCAGTGTCTATGCTCACCGGCTTCTCCGCCAGCCGCTGGGGCCCGCCGACTGGTGGGTCCCGCCGGCTGCCGGCCTCTTGGTCGACAGGCAGGTCCCACCGCTTGGCGGTCTTGTCAGGGGCTGGTTACTGTTGCCTCACTCTTGATGATGAGGGCTTTGTCGAGGTAAGCATGGCTACAGTACCGCCACCTGGCGGGCTCTCATTGTAGCCTTACCTCGTCTTGTCTCATTAATGGTGCGTGTACTTTGAGGGAGAGAGCGAGCCGGCTGGTGGGAGCCGGCTACGTCCCAGGCCGACTAGGGGTGGCGTGGCCGCCTTCGGGTGTCTCTCTGACTGAAGGGGCCCGCCGCCCGCGGGCCGTACTGACAGCCTGTCATGGGGGGGGCGTCATGGTCAGCATGGCAGTAGTGCCACGCCGGACGGGTCATGGCTACCCCGTACGGCGTACTGTGGCCATGCGTGCTCCGGGATTCGGGGGTGTCAGGCTTCACTGTTGCCACGCCCCGTCTCATCACCGTTAAGTGGGTGCAGACTTTGAGGGCACGGTCTTGGTCGTCTGCCAGGGGCCGGCTTCTTGGAGTCGGTCTTCTCATGGTCGGCTTCTTGGAGTCGGCCCTCTCGCGGCTTTCTTCATGAGAGTTTAGGGCTGGGCCGCCTTCCAGTAGCCGGCATGTGAGACAGCCGGCCAGGGGAAGGCGGCCCCATGCCTTGGGTGCTTGAAGGCTCGATCGGCCTATCATTTTTTGAAGAACCAGGGGGAGCCGGCTAGGCAACCCGTGGTCATTTACTCCGACATCCTTTGTTTCTCTCTTTACGGACTCATCTCATGTTAAGTTTGGTCTACCCCAACCTCTCTTAACATTATCAACATGCTTTAACTGGTTGCTATGCACCCGATGCTTTTGAACAAGATTCTCGTCAATCGATGTTATCCCAACTCTACCATGTATATCATCATATGGACCCAATCCTTTCTTGTATGTCCACATATCCATCCCAACATGTGCGTTTTTGCTACACCTAACTGCTGGACATGTCGCCTTTTAGTTGGCCAACATTCAACATCATACAACATCGCAGGTCGAAACGTCTCCTATAGAACATACCTTTTAGCTATTGTAGCACTCTCTTGTCACAGAGAATGCCAAAAATTTGGCGCCACTCATCTATCCAACTTTGCTTCGATGATTCACATCTTCATTGGTGTCATCATCCATTTGCAACATTGACCCAACATATTGAAAGGTGTCCTTCCAATCAGTCGCGGATCTAGAATTTGACCAACGTGGGGCAACATTACAAAGGGTAGTATCTTTTTTGTCAAAACACATTACAAATAGTTAATAAAGTATTGAATATACATATGAATGCACTAGTAAAAAATATTCTGCAAATTGTATGTATATCCACATCAGCAAAAATCATACACTGTCAGATATCTCCTTATAGTATATCCCCTTGTGACCTCGTCCAGCATCAAAGCAAAAAAAAAACGAGGGCTCAAAACTGACCTTGAGTTTCATCATCACTCGTCCGAACAGTCACAACATTATCATACATGCCTCGATGAGGGTTATCATACATGTCTCGATGAGGGTACACACAGAAAACCCCTATCCGACGATCCAAGACCTCAAAATCAAATTTTTTTTTCAATCATTTGTTTTGCACTTGTATTCCTATCACATTTGTGTGTTATTTTTATCTAATCCTAATCCGCACAAGGCAGATTTCACTTGTCATGATGCAGGTCTCATTGCACCAAATGAAGGAAAAAGAAGAAAATTTAGTTGAACAAAAACAAAAATATAGGATCTAGTAAACACTACAAAAACAAAAGAAAAGAAAATGAGTCTAAAATAGATACCAGAAATTTTTAGAACTATACAAGCTGCACCACAAGGACTACCCAGCTCAATAATCATCATTATTCCTTAATACACTTGCATTAAACTCCAAGCATGACAGTGTAAAAATGAAATAGAGTTGACAACAGAGGCACAATGATAGCCCGGCATAACAAGGCTGCCGTCGTCGCCATAAGTTAAGCACAGTAAGGGCTACCAGAGTGTACAGATCTGCAAATCTAAGTCCCAAGCGCAACAAATCAAAGTTGTAAACAATATACATTTCTGTGGTGCGGCTGTGCATGGGTCGAGAGAGTTTTCGCGGCGGCGTACCACTCAACCCTCCTCGCCGAACTCCTTGGTGAACTTCTCGTGCACTTCCAGGTCCTTCTTGCCAACGGTTGGTCTCTGTCTCGCAAGGACCTTCTCGAAATCATTCTTCGAGATCGGGGGTGGAAGAATCTGCAGCCAAGCAATACGCATTAGTAATTCAAATTCAGTTCAACAGAGGCCTCTTGGAGGTAACAAATGCCATCTATATTCTCTTACCTGTGAGGCAAGGCCTTTGGATGCAAGATCCTGCATCGTGGTCTGCACAGCGCCTGGCTGCTTCGGTCCACAGGGCATCCACATGTCACCATCTATCTTGAAGAAGTACATAGCATCCTGTGTTTTGCGCACAGGCTCAAACAACACATCTTTCACCTGTTAACAAACAGAAGAATCAGACGCACGTCACAATGTACAGACACATGTGGGTTGTGCAAAAATTACTTACACAGACAGCAACATCGGAACCAGAGAATCCTTCTGTACGACGACCCAAGACCTCAAAATCACTTTCCGATAAGCTGTGCGGTGTATCCCCAAGATGCACCTGAATGAATTTAAGTTGCCAGCTTTAAGCAAAGGATCATGACAACTTATCAAAACAGAACATTTTATGCAGTGTTGCACAGATGTTTCGTAAATACCTTAAACATATGCTGCCTAGCTTTCGCGTCAGGTAGCGGAATGTAGATACGCTTGTCAAACCGCCGCCGCACAGCCTGAAGTAATGAATACACACTCAATTTCAATCGACCGCTGCTGGATTTAGTATATGAATTGGTGATCAAACTGTTCTAGAAATATCAAGAGAATCTTTGTAAGCCATAAATGGTACAACAGTGTATTTGAGAAGTTTCCGAAGACCTGGTCCAGAGCATATGGCGTATTCGTCGCAGCAAGAACAAGAACTTTATCATCATTATGGCCAACACCCTGGATAGTTACGGGGAAACAAAGCAAATGTATTAGCCAAAACTGTTAGTGCGAGGAATCTATACAACTACTGTGTTTGCTGAGATATCCAGTGTTATGCAATAACCAGTCCACTATTACAGTGGTAAGGAATCTGCGAGGCCAAATTATGTCCTTTTACGTAGCAATGCAACAGTATTGGCAAAGTTTTCTTAAAAAACTATAGGCTCACTACTAATTCCATAATCTGGACACAGAATGTGTCGGACCATCACTTCTCCATGTCTGAATTATTTGAATCATTTATCATACTAAGTGCAGAAATCCATCTAATCACGACACCATATTCTGAAGCAGAACACATATTCAGAAACAGCTCACAACATCATAGGCTGCAAAAGCTCACCTGCATCTGTACAAGAAGTTCGGTTTTTATTCTCCTGGAAGCTTCACTTTCATTGCCTTCTCCACGTGTACCGCACAAGGAATCAATTTCATCAATGAAGATAATTGACGGGGCATTTTCGCGAGCCATTTGGAAAAGATTAGCAACTAGTTTCTCGCTCTCTCCCATCCATTTCGAAACAAGGTCTGATGAAGATATGCTGCAGGTAAATTGATCGCATTAATATGGTATAACCTTAAGGATATTGTATTAGCAGTACAAATAAATGGAAATTAGTAGGAAATGAACGTTAGCAATATACATGGGCACATCAAGTCCAGAAGAAAGAACATGCAGCTTGTTCAGAGATATTTGCATGGGTAAATTTGATATATGCCACTACAAAGTATCCCTGTTTTGAAAAATGCCACTACAAAGTATCCCTGTTTTGAAAAATGCCATTAGTATTCTTTGACTTTGAAACATCCCACTACAAAGTTCATATGCTTTGAAATATGCTATTGCATACCGTTTTGGAGGATTAGACACCATAACAAGTATGTATTTCATTTTGTACATGGACCCCTTCGGCCAAGTCAACAGCTAGCCGCTCCCGATACCCTTTTTCCTCTCTGTCTCTCTGAAATCAGCCAGCTTTGGCCCTTGGCCACTCGCCGTTGCTGGTGCTGCTCCTAGCTGCCAGCTCCTCCACTTCGCCAGAGCTGCTGCTCCCAAGTGCTGCTCTCGCCCACCACCTCTAGTGCTACAACCAGCCGCCGGCTCTATGCTGCACAACTCAACTTTCACTGTTTGCCCTTGGTGCTCGGTGTCCATGATGCCGACGACGGCCGAGAACGGCGGCACGGTGGCAATGCGAAGGACCTCGTCATGCACAGTAGATTGTGGTGGCGAAGGATAGCACGCTCGAGCACACAACGTTGCGTGGCAGCTGGGCGTGTGCATGTCGCGTGTGGCTCCGAGAAGCCTGAAGCCTGTAGCAACGTGAAACCTGAAGCTAAAGCAACGTGAAGCAAAATTGACAGCATATGCATTGCTTGTTTGATGTTCCAGAACTGCTGCATTGCTTTCTGTTCCAATTGACAACTTGACTTAAATAACATACCAGCATCGGCACTAGTTGCCTCCATGTCTCTCATCTAGGTCTAGGTTTACAAAGGGGAGAGGATAAGAGCAAGGGTGTCGGTCCGGAGAGCTGGGACATGGCGGCAAGGAACGGGACTGGTGGAGGAGACCACGAGCAGCGGAGGCAAGCTGGCGAGCAGGAGCAGCGGAGGCACGGCGGCCGGGGGCAGTGGACGCGGTGGCTGGGACGAACATAAAGAAACGAGAGGAAAAGGGGGATCGTGGGTGTTGTTGAATTGGCCAAGGGGTACCTTTGTCCATGCACAAAATATTAAGGGAAGTGCATACCTATTATTGTGTCTAATCCCTCAAAACGGTATGCAATAGCATATTTCAAAGCCTATGAACTTTGTCATGGCATGTTTCAAATCAAAGAACAGTATTTTTTTTCAAAACCAGAAACTTTGTAGTGGCATATATCAAATTTACCCTATTTACATATTTGCCAAATGTAAAGCCTATTGTATAACCTGCAATGCGCTGAGCCCGCATAAATGTTCATGGTACCTAGCCACTCACATATTTGCCAAATGTTTTATGGTGTGGCTACATACACATTAGTTGTTACTACTCTTAAAATAGGAATCAATGTGTGGTTAAGCTACTCATCTGGAAGTCAGAAGTGCAGCTCTGGAAGGATTTGGGATGGAGAAAAAAATTCAAATTGTTTTCTCAATCTGGCTGAACACAGCTCATCTGATAATGTTTACTCCCTCCGTCCGAAAATACTTGTCATCAAAATGGATACAAAGGGATGTATCTAGATGTATTTTAGTTCTAGATACACATGTATCTAGATGTATTTTAGTTCTAGATACATCTCTTTTTATCCATTTTGATGACAAGTATTTTCGGACGGAGGGAATACAAAGTAAGACCTCAGATCTTAAGATATTTTATGACTCAAACATGGCAAAATTATTTTTTTGAATGCATAGTTGATTTGACCCACCAATTATTACAGGACCACTTGTTCTCACAAAATTCATTTCAATGCACATAACAAATGTAAGCATAATAAACTAACGTCCTTCCATACGACAATATACTAATACTGCATCATTTTCTAAAACAAATTGCATGTAAACATCAAAAGTTCCCAACTTCAGCCAAGGTTTAAACATATCATACTCTAAGGTGTGCACATGAAAAGCAACACTCAAACCAAGTGCAACTTGTTAAAGCTGCTATCTTGGGACACACCTCACAAGGAGAACGTTTTACAAAAGATGCATCAAATAGAATTTTCATGAAGAGGGCATCTGCCTTCAATCTTATATGATGTTCCTGTAATACAGGTGAATAATATGGCTGGTGTAGATACATAAATGATGTACTAATAGTATGCCAAGTTAATTACCTTAACTCCTTATCTAGACATGTGCACTAAACATACATGCTCAATATTGTCAACCATGCGCAAATAAACCACCATGAGAAATTCAAAATCATAGCAGTAACAAAATAGTGAAAACACTACTTGCTGCACATGATGAACTGCTACAAAGAGACACTTCGGAAACCTAAGTGATACCCTAAAATATGAATTGCAGGCCTGCATGTCCTTGTTGGCACATAAAACCACTTCATATTGCGGGAGATTTTCTTACATGATGACAAAGTCAATTATCAACACATGGAAAGTAGAGATAAAACATGGTACTCGGTGAGGAGAGAACAAGTAACTAGCAATTGTGTCATCATCATATAAGAGAAGTGCCAATGTAGAAAAAGCAAGAAGTCAATTCCAACGCATACTATGCTCCCGTGCAGGAGCATATATAACATAAGCAGGTGGAACTAGAACAATCACAAACTCACAATATTAGATGTACCCGCCCAATATAATTATTCCAAGCAGAACAGTAAAAAAATGGAATTTTACTATGAACCATCTATACCAATTGTGCAAACACTCATCTACTGTTCCAAACACATCAGATTGGTTTCTGTTAACTACTGGACAAGTAACAGGATATCCTGCAAATTAGAGTTCAGCAATAAATCTAGGTAGCATAAACAATAGCAAAGGATGATGTAAGGTTGTTAATTTGGCACCAACAGATAACTGATTACACAAAGGCAAAAGACGTCCGACCAAAATTCATTCACCAACAGATAACTGATTACACAAAGGTAGAAGACGTCCGACCAAAAATCATTCAAGGATGAAATCAGTGAGAATAAAGGTTAGTGTGTAGGTGAAATATATGATAACTACCTGAAGAATGTCGAATCAGCCTCAGTTGCAACAGCTTTAGCCAAATAAGACTTTCCTGTTCCTGGTGGACCGTACAGAAGAAAAGCCCTCCATGGCCTCCGCTTACCTAGAGAAAAGGACACTCCATTAGTTGCACATCAGCAGTTACCTAAAAAAGTGCTCTCCAGTATATGATAGTTGACTGATTAAGGACACAAACCCTAAAACAGACACCAGTTATGAAAGTATTTGGAGAATCTCGTGATATTCAAATCTCATACTCCCTCCGATCAAAATAAGTGTCATGGTTTTAGTTCAAACAGACAGTTAGGAAGTGAAGCTAATTTTTGCTATATTAACAATCGAAGATCCATACTGAGTAATCCAGACCTTGATCTATCTAAAATCTGCTACATTTACCACCATGTTGTACTGTATAAGAAACCAATGTTTCTATGACCATGGTTAAAACTTGGTTTCATAATCATTTTTTAATTCACACTGCCACCGTCACTGGAAAAAAATTGGCTCTACTACAAACTGTTATCTGGTACAAGAGCGACATAATTATAAGTTCAGCAAGGTTCTTTGTTAGGATTAGAGAGTCAAAAAAAAGTTACTGAATATAATTTGCCAGACATCCCAACGTTATACCGACTAAGGCTCAGTCTGCGGTTGCTGAACTGTGCTGTGTTGTGCTTACTTATAATTGGCTGTGAAAAATCATGCTCAAAAACAGGCAAAAACTGGTGAAACAACGCAGCCTAAGTTTGCTCAATACAAATCGATCTAGCATACATGCTCATGGTGGTTCAAAGTTATGAATAGTTCATGCTCACCCAATCAGATTCAATCAAGATCAAGATACACAAAAATTATGAATTAGCAGGGTTCTTTGCAAGGATTGAAGAATCAAACAAGTTCCTGAATGTAATTTGCCAGACATCCCCACGCTGCAACGACTAAGTTTGTTCAACACAAATCTATGTACTCATGGCGGTTCAAAATTATGGTTATCTACAGACACAAACCAGCTTGTGTAGCACACTTTCAACCTGCACTCCAGAACCAAATAATTCATGCTCACCCAATCAGATTCAATCCAGATCAAGATGCATAGGGCTTATCTATACGATCTAGCTACAGCAACTGCAATCGCCTCATCCTTGGCGACGAATAATTAGGTAGGATTACTGGCTTCCTTTGGAAAGGCTCACCTGTGAAGAACTGGGGGAACTTGACGGGCAATATGACGGCCTCCTGCAGCGCCTGCTTGGCGCTCTCGAGCCCGGCGACGTCGTTCCACTTGATGTTGGGCTTCTCGGTGATGATGGCCGAGTTGAGGCCGGCCCTCAGCTTGGACTGCTCGGAGTCGTCCCCGCCGGCGCCGTCGCCTCCGCCGTCCTTCCCCTTGGTCTTGGGCCGGGTGGCGACGGCGGCGTCGCCGCCGTTGGGCGCGCCGGGGGGGCCGCCGCCGCCCTCGTCGAGGACGGCCCGGATCTCCTCGGCGCGGCGGAGGTACTCGGTGAACTTGGCGGTGATGGCCTCCTTGATCTTGGGGTTCTTCTCGTACTTGAGGTGGGTCTTGAAGTACTCGAGCGCGTTCATGTAGAGCGGGAACGCCTTGACGTAGTTGCCGGCATTGTCCTCCTGGACGGCCTGCTTCACGTACTCGATCGCCTGCTCCTTGAAGTTGCTGTACATCGAGGGAGAGCTGGAAAGGCGCCGCCTTTGCGGCGGATTCCGGCGGATCGGCGCGGGGGGCGGGCCGGGGGAGCGCGGGCGCGGCGGATTCGGCGGGGGAGGGGCGGGGCGGGGCGGCGGCGGCGGTTGCTTGGCCCTGGGGTTTGACGAAGGAGGTGGGAAGATGAGGAGAGGGGGGAGGAGAAAGAGGAACGGAGACGAGACGCGGTGCGGTGCGGTGGGGAAAAGGAGACGAAGACAACCGGGGAAGCGTGTTTTCTTTTCCTTTTTTTTTTATTTGCTTGTTTTTCTTATTTTTTATTTATGTGCTTTTTAATTGGAGTGGGAAAAGGACTCGGTTACTCAATTTGAAGCCACTTGGATTGGATTGTATTGTGTAAAAAAAATTGGAATTGCTTTTTTTTCTTTTGAGAGAGCTTAATTTTTTTTTCTAAACACAACACACGCAGATGCTCATACATACACACATACACTTATCCCTATAAACGCTCACAAGCACATACATACACCGACCCCTATGAATGAACGCACACACACGCTACCTTATGAGCACCTAAGAGTTGGGGAAATATCAGGTGCTACCAGCACTTAGATGATACGTGATACGGGCTTCTGGGCTATTGGATCTTAGAACCGACGGCTCCTCGAAATCTATTATACCTGCGCAAATTTTTAAGACTCTCGGATTGGTTTTCTACAAAATGTTCAAGAGCTCCCGTGAGCCATCGGATCTGAGATCCAATGGCTCCTAGGAGCCCGTATCACGGTATCACCTAACGTCTGGTATCACCTCATATCTTCCCCTTACGAGTTATTGAGTCGGCACAACATAGCCTAGTTGATAATCTTACCGAGACAATCTCATGTATAATCAAAAATATAAAGGTGAACATAGTTTGACACACAACCGTAAAATAGTAAATTTGAAAATAATACTAGAAAAAATTATTATTATTCTCTTGAAATTTCGGATATCAAACTTGAATTCTACTCGCCTGTGTATTTTCGTGAAGTATTGGCACCCGTGTGTTGTGAAGAAAAATATAATTGGACATATATATATTGACCCCTATGAAGGGACCCACACACACCCTACCTTACGAGCACCTACGAGTTATTGAGCCGGCACAACATAGTCTAGTTGATAATCTTACCGAGACAGCCTCATGTATAATCAAAAATATAAAAGGTGAACATGGTTCTATGTGTAGTAAATCTGAAAATAATACTAGGAACATCCAACAAGAGAAACACACAAACACTTTGGCTAGGGTTTCTTGTGCCTCCCGCTGGTGTCGTCGCCGGTCTACCTCGTCTCCATGGTCTTAGGGTCATGGAGGCATGGTGGATCCCAGTCCATGCTGTCGGGAGGACTCCATTTTTTCGTGCTCTTTTGAGTTTCGTTAGGGTTTGTGCCCTGCTCAGAGAGGTGAGGCGGTGGAGGTTCTTTGAAAATGGAATAAGGTTCTCCCCGTCCCGGTGGTGTTTCTAGCGTCGTCGGGGGGCATGCGGAGGTTTGTCTCCGACGGATCTCGTGGGATTCGGTCAGCGTTTGTCTTCGGTGGATCTTGTCTTCGTTCGTCTGTGTTCGTGTCTATAGGTTGGATCATTCTAATCTACGCTTCTCCTCATCGGCGATGGTTGCTGTTTTGATGTGTTGTTCCTATGGGGCCTTTAACACGGCAACTTTCTGACTATCTACTACAACAAGGTTTGCCCACTCAGATGAGGGAGGGTCGAAGACGGTGGCACGCCTAAGGCTCGCTACAGTGCTAGTAGTCATCTCTAAGTGGTCTACGAACCCAGATCTATTTTTTATTTCTGTGTTCTTTGTACTACCTTGATAGTTGATAAATAGATCAGAAGTTATTCTCACAAAAAAAATACTAGAATAAAATACCAAACTTGGATTCTACTCACCTGTGATATTTCATGAAGTATTGGCACCCGTGTATTCTAGTGAAGAAAAATATTGGGACATTACTATTCATCAAACAGTGTTGCTAAATATAGTTTTGAGTCTTTTTCATTTTCCCCCGGAATACCATGGATTTTATTTCGACATGAGCTTCATAAATGAGTATACCAGTCGACTATGTATATTACAAAAAGAATTCTTTTGATTTTTTTTTTCTAGTACTCCTTCAATCCAAATTAATTTACTTAATTGAGTTGTATTAAAGGAGCATCCATTAGTTTGGATCGTGGTGCACATCATATCCCTTCCCCCTGGCTCTCGTGCAAACTCTTTTCTAGGGTTTCTTTGCCTCTCGCCGGTGCCGGAATCATGGAGGCGTGGTGGTTCCCGACCCTTGCCGGCGGGAGGGCTCCATTTTTAGGTGTTTTTCTGAGTTTTCTTAGAGTTTGTGTCATGCTCAAGAAGATGAGGCGGCAGTGACTTCTTGAAGATGGAATAAGATCCTCTCTGCTTAGCCTCCGTCTTGGTGATGTTTCAAGCGTCGTCGAAAGACGTGTGGAGCTTTATCTCCAATGGATCTCGTGGGATCCGGTCGGCATTTGTCTTCGATGGATCCGACTGGATCTGGTCTTCGTTCGTCTACGTCTGTGTGTCTGCAAGTTTGATCCTTCTGATCTACGCTTTTGTTCATCGGCGACGGTTGTGTTCTGGTGCGCTGGTCCTATGGGGCCTTAGCACGGCGACTTTATGATTGCCTACTACACCAATGTTTGCCCGGCTTCGACGAGGGAGGGGCGATGACGGGGGCGCGCCTTCGGCTCGCTACAGCGCTTGTAGTCGTCGCTAGGTGGTCTACGAACCTGGAAGTAAATTTTACTTCTAGTGTTCTTTGTATTAAAAATTGATGAATAGATCGAAAGTTTTTCTCACAAAAAAATAGTTTGGATCAGTGGGAGTATTATTTTTTAATTTACTTTTCATAAGAGATGCGCATAGAACCATATTCACCAAATTTGCGTCCATGTGTATTTGAATTAAGATGAAAGTGGGTATCCGAATTTGTATGACGAAGACAAGTACTATAAATATGTTTACACATATTAAACCAAATGTGGATATGGACATTGTTCGCACACGAACACGTCACCGTGTACCTCCAACACTAAGGGTGATGCACCACAGCTCATGTCGAAGGAGACCCGTCCGGAAGCGCGGTACGCAGGCAATCCGGCGGGTGCTTTTGAGGACCCGAAACCCCACACGCCCGGGAGGGACCCCGTCTGGGCGCGCGGCGGCTATGGGCTGCCCTAGGTCGACCTGATCGCCCCTTTGGCATCGAGGTTCGCCGCCCTGCAACAAGAAGAACATACGAAGAACGAGGAAGAAGAAGAACTAGGGTTAAGGAGAAAAGATAAAAGGTAAAAAGTGGTAGATGATTTGATCGATTGTGTGTTGTTCAATCGGCCATCACCCCTTAGATATACAAGAGGCGGCTGGACTTCCCGTGCAAGGAAAAGGCTAGGATTCACATCCAAAACCCTAGTCAAATTCGGATTGATTTTGTCCGAACTTTTCAAAACTGTTCGGTTTAAACTGGTTGCACCTTGCGGGTCTTTTTTGTGGTGGTAAACAATCTCGGATGGAAACGATCCCAAAAGCAATCTTGATCGTTTCGACGAGGCGAACAACTTTCATGTTGAACATTTTTTGATCAAAGGTCATCTTGAGGGTCAAATCGGTCGCTCAAAACAGGTTATTCCCTCGCGCTACCCATCAGACATGTGTCTGGTGGGACGCGCCACATCTCGCCTCGTGACAGGGCTGCACTCCGATTACTCTAACTTTTGCATACAAACTCGGATTTGGACAATTTTTATATCAAAATCGATCGCTTCGACGATACGAATACAATCCGTGTAGATCACTTTTTCATTTGAGGTCGTTTTGAGGGTTTAATCGGCCAAACTGTACTCTGAATATAAGATCTTAGTACTTTGAGCATAGTTTCGGCCTTCGAGATGAAATCGGACGGCGATGACCCAAACTTCAAACATGTTCATATCAACAATACGAAACTCTTTCATGTAGATCACTTATCCATTTGAGGCCATCTTAAATAAGTTCTTGACCGTGCCAAAATCTGGTGTCAACACATGCCCCCTGCTTTTCGGCAAAACTTGTGTGCCGAAAAATAACTTGCACATAGCTTGCTCTAAGGACGATGTCAACACTCCATCGGCCATTTTGCTTATGCTTAGGACGATAAGTTTATATCAGCCATTGCTTGTGTGAATATTTTGATGCAAGCTTGGGTGAAACTTTCCCAACTTCATTAATCTGACTATAAAGTTCCATAGGTATGCATGTCAAGACCATCCATCAACCATATTGTCCACCCTTCTGCTAGGATCTTGCAGATAATCAACAATGAATTTTCTTGAATCCTTACTTTGTCTGCATAAAAGTTTCGTTAGTGGCCGAGGTGGTGAGCTCCAATTCGGCCTTACCTATGTTGGCAAGAATAAGCATCGGCTATTGATAGATGTGCAATACACCATGACCGACGTGGTAGCCGGATGCTTACTAAGCCAACTATCTCCAATTATCATGTCTATATATATATGAGCAATGCTAAAATAATCCAAAGTAGAAATTATATCTAGACATTTATCAAGATAAACATGAAGTGATTCGTCAAAACATTGAAATTTTTTGGATATTAGTTGCACTACTAATAACGAATCACCAAAAGCCTCAATATGTGTATCACCTATGGCAAACAACATCTCTAAACCGAATAACAATGCTTCATATTCGGCCTGATTATTTGTGCAGAAATACTCTAAACGACATGAGGCTTCAAAAACAGCACCATGAGGAGATATAAAAACAACACCAACACCTTGGCCATTGCTACAAATTTAACCATCAATATATAATCTCCATAGTATTAGAAAGACAAGGCTAATATCAACATTATGCATGTTATTAATCCGATGTTCAGTAATAAAATCAGCTATGATTTGGCCTCTTATAGATTTCAAAGATGCATAAGCCAAATCATAACCAAGCAAATTACAAG